CGGGGGGACCTCCCCTGTGGGACAAGAGAGAGTGAGAGCCATTGTTCAGCTGCCCCTGGATTTTCTAGCATGTGGCATTTCATGACGTGATGAAAGCAGCTCTGGACAGCTGTGTCCACCCCAGTGCCATGGGGAAGCTGGTGAAGTAACAGCATGTACTGACTGTGTGGAAGAAGAGAAGGAGCAAGGGAATCTTCTTGTCTGTCCAAAGCACCAAGCCTCATGGATGCAGATAGAGAAATAATCACCTCCCCCCTACATGGGCATTGTAGCATCCTCACTCCCTCTGATCAGCTAACAGGAGGAGCATAGCAAACCTGCAGGATACAAGACCTGCCATGTGAGGTCACACCACAGTGCTATGGTTCATCCCAAGATGTGTTTATAGTTATTTTTCCAGTATAAGAGAGCCACTTTGGAGTTACTGTTGCCTGCACTGGCTGGAGACTCAATAGCAGTACTCTGCAGCCTTAGGACCAGTCACAGCTGCCACACAACCCAGAACAGGGGTAGGCCTAGAAGGCAGTATGTTTAGAGAGTGCACATTACATGACAGGTACATACCCAGATTCTCAGCCTTGTAGGTTATCACAGAGGGGCGACAGAAAGGCAATGAGTAGTACTCGTACGGCAGCTGGGTCCGTGAACTCGTGAGCTTCACAGCCTGAAGGAAGAGGAAGAAGCAGTCATTCCATCATGGACCCTCTTAAAACCACAGGGACCACTCCCTATTTTCCCCTACATCAGCTCCAAGCTAAAGCCTCCTTCAGGAGAGATTTCAAGAGAAAACCCCTTGAAAGATAGCAACAGTGCCCATGAGGAAAATCCATCCTGCATGAAACAGATCGCATCACCCACCATTCAGAGAGAACAAGCAGCTTATTTTCTAAGGAGTGAGAAGCACTGACTAGCCCCAGCATCTTAGTTCACCAGGACCTGCAGTCTATTAGGTTACCAACGTACAGCTGTCATCAAGTTTTGCAGGGAGGTAATCCTGAGGACAGAAAAGTTCACAGCAACACCTCCACCAGTGAAACGACTGGGAACACATTGAGGACATGGGAGCGTGGAGTTAACTGGGCAGCTCTGGGAGGAGCAAACCCCTTACATGTAAGAGAAGGGTGTTGTCATGCACCTGACCCTTTCACAACATACATGCACCCCCGAGCCTGTTACAGCATCAGCCCCGGCCTATTCCTGTAGCTATGAAGAGCAGGCATTTCAGTACTGCTAAGAGCACTAGACATGTCACAGATTTTGATATTAAAGTCACAGCTGAAAGCAGATAGAATGGTGCCTGGGGCCTGCTAATTTGGCCAAAACCAGCCTGCTGTCAGCTTTTTGCACCCCATTAACACAGAGAGGGTGTATTCAGTCTCTTTTCATGTTCCTATCTCAGTGGGGCTCCAGATGCTGCTAGTCAGAGGCCCCTGCCTCTAACAAGAGCCTGGAAACTGATAGGACTTGGGGAGTGTTCCTATAGTGCTAACAGCAGAGCCCCCACGTGGCTTAAGATGGGCTACAAGGACTGACCTCCCACCCCACCTTGGAGACTGTTCTGACTGTTGAAGCAGCCAGTTCCTTGCAACTCAAAACCACCGAGCCTTCATTCAGAGCCCTGGGCTAGGCAAGGAGAGCCCCTCCGTCCTTCACCTGTCCGACCTGAATAGCTTTTGTCCTCTCTCATGCCCCAGCCACCTCAGCTTTAGCAAGCAGAAAAATGTTCGAGGCAGACATGGCTGATTTATTTCAGCTGTTGTTCATCAGCCTTTCCCATGCCCATTTTTTTGCAGTATTACCTGGGATCCCAAGTGTGTATTGAAATGGGGTGACTGGCGCTCTTTTTGGAAAAGCCACAGCCTAGAGGTCTGCCCTTGGTTCCCTGAGCTTCTGCCTTTGGAGAGGAGGCCAGATCAGAAGACAATGGATGGGGTTAAAACTGAAAGCTGCTCAAGGGGACCCACAAAAATGTAGGACATGATCCTGGATGTCTGCATCTCAGTTAAGGCAGAGCCAAGGCCACAGCTGTTCTGAAAAGCAGGAACAATTTGTAGTCGAGCCAAGGTCACTTATCGGAAGTACACCACAGGCTGTGCCAACTGATCTCACTGCTGAAGGAACCATTTGGCTTTCAAATCCCTTTGAGAGCAGCTCTTCCAACCCAGCCCCTTGAGACCCTTTGCCCTGGGCTAGCCTTGTTTGTTCAAAAACAGCCTGAGTCTGGAAGTTTGTGGGTAAAATGCAAATTGTGCTGTGCTTGGTACATGACTAGTCAACCTCAGTGACCCAGACATCCACTCTGCTGGACTTCTTGCGCAGAACGAAGCCCACAGCTTCAGCAAAAACAAATAAAAAGAGGCTCAACTTGCTGGTGTCTGGAAACCAAGCCTGAGCTCCCTTCCGACAGGAGGGAGGCAGCTCCACAGTTGGGCACTGATGATAGTGGGCTCTGTGGTGAACTCTGCCCTCTCCGTGGGTGTTTTCAGACTAGAGGCTGGAGGGTGGCAGGGGAGGTTGTGGTAGGGTTCAGTTTCTTCCTGGCTGAGGGATAGAGTGCACGAGAACCGACTCAGGCAAATAAGTATGAAATGATGGGGTCTAGCCTCGATGTTACCCCCGGACCCATTGCCTTTAGACAAGTTTTGCTTATGGTGCAATGCTGCTCTATGGGCAGTGTCACCTGTTGATCCCACACATGTGCAACTCAGCAGCACACAGCACCAACTGCTTTCACTCTGTTCCCTGTGCCACTGAAAGAGCTCCTGTGCCAGCCAGAGCAACTCAGATAAAGATTTTGGTGCAACTCCTTAATTGCTTCATAGGAACACTCAAAAGAAGAGACACAGGAGGAAAAAGAGGAAGATCAAAGAAAACAGTGGGAACAGGGGCATGACAATTAAGGGCCGGAGCCCCTCATTAGTAAAACCTTGCATATGAGTGCTACTACAACATCTGCTACTGAATTGGGGAGGCACGACCCCAACCTTTCGCTCCCAGTGACTCGTTGGGCTCCTTGTGCTACAAGGAAATGTGTTCCCACTGGCTGCTGATCCCTGTGACCTCCACCCTACCTTGATTTCTACGGGACTATTCCGGTGGAAATTCCTAGGCGCGACACCTGGGACGTAGAACGAGCCCATTCCATGGAACAGTGAGAACAGCAGCAGCAGCAAACTCAGACATTCCTGCAAAGGAAAAAGAGGCATCAGGCAGTACTGTCACAACCACATGCATCAGGGCAATGCACCACCCAAGATACTCCCCTCCCAGAAATGATATTTATAGGGGCTGAAGAGTCCAACAACCAATGCACAACCCAGGCTTCTACTCCCAACGTTGCAGCTCCTGGCAAGTCACTTCTAAGGTGTGCCTATTTCTCCATGTTTGAAAGAGGAGTAGCAGGTGCTTATGCCCCAGGTGTGTGCTGTGAAATGGGTTGGAGTTGTCAGCTGAGAGGCACTACAGTGCAAGCATGCCAAGAGAGACAGATCTGGGGAATAGCAGCTACCTCTGGACACCTGAGCACACCACTGTTTTCCTCCTTCCGTGCCCTACAAACAAAGCAGCCTTTGCTCGACATAGCTGAAGCTCCCCACACTAGGACATGTGCTCTTCAGGCACCATAATCTGAGGTATGGAGCAGCAGTTCACAGTCTGACCTGCAGCTTTCCTGCCCTGTGCACAAAAATCCACCCCTCTTCACTCAGCTGGGTGCACGGTCTACGCAGCAGGGCATCAGCCTTGACACTACATTTCAGTCCACCAGTGCACTCCAGAAATTCTCCCGTGGCAACTCCTGGGCTACAGCTCAGAGAATTTGTTTTCAGTGCGGCAATGAGCTGGAGCCGACTTCTACGTTGTGCAACATCAGACCTACACAAACCAATTGGATCAACACTGGAGAAGTGCTAACTCAGCTGTCCCTCTATCTACAACCCCACTGCATGAGTGAGTTTGCACCACCTGTCCCCCACCCCCCACAAGCCAGGAAGTTTAAAGCAGCAATGAATGCAAGTCAGAGATGGGTGCAGGGCCAGAAGCAAGGTAGCTTGGGGCAATTCTCAAGCTAACACTGCCGTGAAGACAAACCTACGGTCATCGCTTCCCTACAAAGTCAGCTTCACTCTGCTGGTGCCACTGTATCTAAAGGAACAGCACGGGGGCAGGCTGGGGAAGAAGGGGATCGAGAGACCCAGGGCTCAAGGGGGCAGAGGGGCAAAGGCTGTGTCATTGGTTTATGGCTTGGGCTCCAGTTGCAGCACGGGAAGTTGAGGTTGGATATTAGGAAATTGGGCTGGGATAAGCACAGCTCCCAGTTCAGCAGGGCCTGAGGGCGCTGGGAAGGGAGCACAGAGTCTGAGAACAGAGCACCCTGCCTCCATGTCTTCTCATCCCTCAGCTGCATTAATGCTGCCCAGAGGGGCTCAGAGGGAACTTGCATGGATCCAGATGTTCCTAGCTAGAGTCCATCACTGCCGTGCACAGCAGCACGGAGACAACGCTAGACCCTTGGAAGTCAGGTCAACCTGCTCCCGCCCCTGTGAAATCACAGCCTAAAACAAGGAGCAGCAAGGGAGGGTATCTGCTACCAACAGCAAGCCAAGCCACGTCCAGAGGACAGCCCACTGACCCCTGACCCAGAGCTGGTCCAGTTCAGCGACTGTTTCGTTCAGAGGTGGGGAACCCACTGGGAGTTAAACAAGCAGAAAGGGCTTGTTTGCCTCTTCCAATAATAATGACAAGTTCAGCGTGTATGGCCTCTACCAGCTCAGCAGGCCTGGAGATATTTGGAAGTGCATGGTGACTAAGAACAAATCCACTGAATTCACTAAACACAAATAATTGTAGAAAATTCAGGTTGGAAGGGAGCTCAGGAGACCACATCTAGTTCACCCCACTCCTCAAAGCAGGACCAGCCCCAACTAAATCATCCCAGCCAAGGCTGTGTACCCAGGTCTTAAACACCTCCAAGACTCCACCACCTCTCTGGGTAGCTGTTCCAGTGTTTACTACCCTCCTAGTGAGAAAGATTTTCCTAATATCCAACCTCAGCTTCCCTTGCTGCAACTGGAGCCCATTGCTCCTTGTTCTGTCATCTGCCCCCACTGAGACCAGTCCAGCTCCATCCTCTTTGCAGCCCCCCTGCAGGGAGCTGAAGGCTGCTACTAAGTGCCCCCAATCTTCTCTTCTCCAGACTAAATAAGCCCAGTTCCTTCAGCCTCTCCTAAATCACATCCCCGAGCCCCTGAATCATTTTCATTGCCCTCCATTCCAATCATACTTCCTTTGCTTGCTACATCAGTTTGTTTTAAAAACAAAACAGGCTTTAATGAACTTTTTTCCTTCTGCATCCAGCACATTTAAAGTATCTAAGATGTAACTGCTAAAAATAATACCTGTAAAATGCTTTTCTTTTTGCAGTTTATTGTATACCAGTTTCCATTCTGATACAGCTCGTCACAAATCACAACATTAATCACCTAGCAAGACGTGCATCTTCACCATTTCTGTCAAATCAAAAAATCTAAATAAATTTTGGCTAAGCTCCTAGAACTGCTCAAATCAATGCATGCAGACACTAGATATCCTTTTGGTCATCAAAAAGAACTAGATTTGGTGTTACAACTATATCAAGTTGCAGATCAATGTATTTTAATGGTTATCCATGAGATTCAGACGTACTTTAAGAAAGCAGAGAGAAAATACAGGCACAAAATTGAAACGGGACCGCCATGAAATCAAGTGTTCCTTTGTTTCCTATGCTCGTTCACCATCAGCACAAGTATATAACACGCCCCTGGTCTTTTCTTGTCAGAGAATGTTTTATGATCCACACATCAGCAGGAGCCCTAAAGTGGCCCCATTCAGACTCAAAAGGTCTCTTGGGCACATTAAGTGCTAAGAGAAGTATCATCCTTGCTTCACATCTTGTATCCTCCCCCCAGCAGCCAGCTGACTGCAAGCAGTTACTTGGCTCAATCTGCATCTCATGCTAGATACATGCATCAATTCAAAACCAAGAAAGATGAAACCCTTGCCACAAAGAATCTACAATATAAACGGACAAACCAGAACCCTGGGGACAAGCTCAGGAAATGAGTGGGCACAAAGACATGATTTGCAGAAGCAGCAGGTCTCCGCAGACGTGTGGCTGAGGAAGGGCTCAGACTGCGGGAGGTGGTAGTTTCAGACACTGGGGCCAACTAGAGCGGATGAAGAGACAGGCAAGCGCAACTGGGAGAAGGGAAGGAGAGCAGAGACCAGGCAAGAGACAGGGTACACTGAAGCTGAGAAGCTGGAGGGAAAGAAGTGGAGGGCAAGAGAATTCCCTGGTTCTAACTCAGGGGTGGGCAAAATGCCACCCGTGAGCCGGATGCGTCCCACAAGGCCATTCTATCTGGCCTGCAGGGCCCCTCAAAAATTTAGAAAATTAATATTTATCTGCCCTGAGCTGCCTGTCATGCAGCCCTCGATGGCTTGCCAGAACTCAGTAAGCACCCCTCCTCCTCCAAAATAATTGCCCGCCTCTCTTCTAACTCCTAGCTGGCCTGTCAGATGAGTAATGAAAGGCAGCCCGTTCAAGACAGGGCATGGAGGAGACCTTTGCTCTCTTGCTTGCAGGCTGTCTTCCAAAAGAACAACGTGGACATGTGCCAACAGATCTGCATACCCACAGGGGCCATTCCTGGCAGGCCTTTCACTTGCAGCTAGGGGAGCGGAGCAAGTTCAAAGGTTGCACAGTTCTGTCTTGCTTACGTAAAACACAGCACTAGGCTTGAGGTATCAAGATCAACCCCCAGAGCCGTGCTACCACGGCTTTCACCCACACACATTTCAAAGAGGAAAGTCACCCGCATGATGAACTCCCACCTGGGGCACTAGGCAGCCACCGATGGCACCGTGGACTTGTGTGATGCCCAAGCTCAAGAGAAAAGCTTTAGTGTACAAGTTGTTGTGAACAGAGCTAGCGTCACTGTTTAGCTTACCCCACGTACATCTGCCAGGTGACCAGTCCTCAGAGGACAAGCCCCAGGTGAGCAACAAGGAGCTAGAGCAGCATTAAAAGTCATGATGCTACACCCAAGCCCCCAACATGCCCAGGCAGAGAGAACTGCACACCCCGAGTTGGAGGAGAGCAAAGTGGTGCTTCCTTTCAGCCTTAGTTTCTCATACATTCCTTCAACAGGCAGCGAGTGGCACAGGTCACCTTCTGCCAACCTGAACTGAATCTCGCCAGGACAGCCCAGAGGCATGGCATCACAGTAACAAGCCAAAGTGCTCCTTCCCCAGTAGGGACTCCAGCTGTGCCCCTAATTAGGGCGCTCGCAATGTTGTGGTACTATGCAATGTGCTAGTCACCACCAGGAAAGGGACAGCCCTCCACGTATGAAACTCAGCCCCGAACAGCATCCGGTAGAGTCACAGAAATTACTTCCAGATAAAATCACCAGCAGGCTTAACATGAGCAAACCACTTCAGCGGACAGTTCTGCCCACTGGAAGGAACTTCTTTTACAGAGGCATCAAAAGCCACCACCCGTGATTCTGCACGTTCCGCAGAGCTTTGTAAAGCAGACAGGTACCAAGCAAATGTGTCATCTAGATCCAGTCCCACTACATGCGTTTTTTTTTTTTGGGCAGATATGCAAACCCACGGCATGTGCGGATGTACAGCTACTAGTTATATCAGTGCTGGAGACCACAGAACACTGCAAGCTTCTCTCTGTGCCTGGCTGCCAACATGCCTCAAATCACCTCCACGGGGGCCACCTGGACTCAGCCTCCAGGCCACTACAAATCTTTGGCCTCTCTGCATCCACTGCCAACAAGCAGGCCAGGGAGCAGGAGCAGCCCTCACAAATGTCCCCAAGAACAGCACAGGCTGGACAGCCTTCCAACGACAGTCACTTCAGTCATGCTGCAGGCATTTTAAGGAGTGGCACTATGTGAGCTTGCTTCGGGACTGCACCATGACCGTGTCTCGGAGCTAACTTAATGCTATGTTTGCTGAAAAAGAGGGTGGGGAACCACCTACCCAGAGTATAGGAAACCAAAGCTAGTTTGAGCTTCCAATTCCTCTAAAGCAGAGGAAGCAACAGAAACTCTTCATCTCAAACACAGGCAAGCTGGAAGAGAAGCCAAGTACACTCTATGGAGCCCCGCAACATCAAGCAACTGGTTGGAAAAAGAAAGGAAACGCCTACTCTCTTCATCAAAGACTTCCTGGTGCAGTGGATAGACTTCCTGGTGCAGTGCAGCTAGTAACTGGGGGAAGGAAGGAAGACCCTTATATGCTGCAACACAGAGCCAGCCTAGGCTCCCTCCACTGCCAAAATGCGCTGACCGAGGAAGAAATACACCTGCTCTTCCCCAATCTGGGGTGCCAGGGTTTTTCCTGGCAGCTATGCAGACAACCTCATCTTTATTATATTGCTGAACACTCACACTTGCACTTAGAAAGGCCACAGAGAGCCTTTGGGATGGAGACAAGTGCTGCATTCACTCTGGTTTCTGACAGCCCCTTGGACACTGCAAGAATTGTCAGCAGCCTCCTCTGCTCTCACCTCTTCATGAGAGAGGAAGCTGCAATGAAACTCTCAGCAGACATCCTCAGCCCTCTGAATAGGCATGAAACTATCCCACAGGGAAAGAGAAAATAGAGTTTTAAAGAGGTGTGAAAGGAAACAAATGAAAATCCCAGTACTCCCATGCAGAGCATCCTGAAACATTCTCCCACCATGCCTGCCAACCACAGTACCCACAAGGCCCCTTTTCAGTCACTAGTGCAGCAGCACTGAGCTCCAAGGCTTTTTCAGGTCATCAGCCTCACCCATTCACAAGCCACTCTCCCACAGCAAGACCATCCCCAGAAGCACTTGAATGAGAGGGGAGGCATGCCATTTCTCCAGTCTGCAACCTCAGAGAAGTCTAACTTCTTCCTACCTCCTTTTCTCACATCTGGGAAACCAGGTAAATACCTGCTTCAGCTGGTGGTTTTGTAAGGCTTCTGTCCAAAACACTTGGGAAAAGTCCGAGACCCAAGGAAACAAGAAGGCCCTCTACAGCCAAAGTTACCACTATAATTTGCACAAATATTTGATACCCATGAGCACAGCCCCCCTCTGTACCTGGGGTAAGTGTCTGGTTTAAGTCAGACCAACACGGCTACCAAGTACACCCCTGGTTTAAGTCAGCACTTCCTTTGAGTGCATTACCTAGAAAAAAAAAAGTGCTGTTGTAACAGAACAATGGCTCAGCTTCTACTTACAGTGGCCCACTTCCTTCCCAATCCCACAACCTCACCCATCAACTAAAATGCTCCAGGGTATGGAAAGTGGGATTTGACCAGATGTGGCCACATTTTTGCTCAGTTATGGGCATATCTGGTCAGTTCATTCTCCATGCCTCCTGCTTCATAGCTGCACTCTATATCCTGTCCCTGCATGCTCAGCTTTGCTCTACTGCATTTGAGCAACACTCAGCACTGTAAGGCTTCAACATGACCAAAGCCTCAGTAAACCAGTCATATAGATAGCTCGTTATTGGGAGTCTCCCTCATTGCTCCTCTCTCCAGGACCTTGTGGTCTGAATGTGTTCTCCTGTGCATGTATTCCCTCCCACCAATGGTGGTATCCAACACAAAGATTATTGGTTGAACTGATGCTAAACCCTTCAATAAAAAACAGCAGCAAAGAGACAAACAAAACCCTCACAAATTAAAAGACAGAATGCGGTCATAACAAATGCAGAGGTGCTCTGAAAACAGCTGCACTGGAGAACCTAAGAAGTTGTGGCCGGTGTGTATACAAGCCTTTCCTGGAGACTCTGCTTCCAACTCACAAGTGCAGTGACAACAGTAGCATTTATAGGGCATCAGTACATTATTACCATGCCATCTGCAACTGCTCCAAACTAGACACCACAGAGGTAGGAGATACAGCAGCCTCATCTGCGGTAGCTCTGCCCCAGTTCGTACCACCTACAGAGTTTGACTGGTGGTAGTGGAACAGCACAGTAATCTTTTCTAAAGAGCGCAGCACAGAGAAGGCCCATGAGCCTCAGGCCACACCGCAAAATGCAAGCAGCACTGCTGCAGATAGGCAATCGCCATTCATCACTGCGACAAAAGCAACGCTGCAGAGACCATGAGAGACCCACTGCCTTGGAGCAGCCCCGCGCACTAGCTACGTGAGCTTTAGAGCCTCAGGGGGAAAGATCTAGAAGAGAAACAGAGGACATGGGGCCAAGAACTCTTCATGAAGATCCGTTCTTGAGAAACCCATGTTTATCTTTGCACAAGAAGATTCAAGCAACAGAGATCGCTGCTCACAGCAGTCACCTGGGCCACTGGACACCATGGGGTATTGTTACCTTCCCTTAGTCACACTAGCCTACAACAACCACTTTCCAGGCAGACTAGATGACTGGATTCCTGCCGAACAATCCAGCTCCTTTTCAAGCACAGCGAAGGGCCAGACCAAACCATCTAAGGGTTTGTCTCAACTAAGAGGCATGAATGAGTTTAGACTCGACCCAAATGACGAGTAGTGAGTCTGACCTAAGCTCAACTGTTTTTCCTAGTCAGATTAATCTCAGACACTCTCACTTCTGCAATTCTTCTAGATAGCTACTGCTTGCTAATCCTAGTAATAAGCAACGCTGCTGAACTAAAAGGCCTGGAGAACGTACTGCCAGCGAGCATGAAAGGCTGCGCACTGAACACATGCTGCAGTGTCCTGATTTAACCTCCGTTCTGTGCAGATTTTGCCTCCTCTCCAAACGGAAGTCAGCGTCACACACAAATACAGCATCTGTTTCGTGCTGTGGAAAGGAAGCAGGATTCAAATGGGAACAGGGTGGGGAGTGCTTCTTGTCCCCTACAATCAACCCTGTGGACACCTATGATTATTGCAAAGGCCTCACCAGCCCCAGCGGAGCTGGTGTGTCCACGTCATTGGGAAGCAGCTGGATTCCAGCTGCAGCATTAGGAGAGGCATTGAAAAGGAAACAGAAAATACCGTGATGCCACGACACCTGTCCTGGGTTTTGCCCACAGCTTGGGCAATTCTCAACATAGGTGTCACCCTGGGATACCTCGATATCCTCTCAAGGGGATGCCACTGTCAGGTGCATAAATACGAATCACAAGAGAGGGGATCCTGTTTGAAATCAATGGGTTTACGTGAAAACCACGCTGCCCTCTGCGGCCTTTCTGTGCTCTGCGCAGCAGAAGAATTGCTCGAGAATTTCTGTCGTCAAAAGAAGTGGAGTGAAAACAAAGAACTGGCGTTTGTGGTGGGGCTCACAGAAACCACAGAGAAGTCAGGCTGGTTACCTGGGTCCACCCCCTGCCCGAGGCAGGATCGTTCCTAACCCCAGACGTGTCCAATTAAACACTACATAAAGCGATCTTCTGCCCAGAGGCGACACTCACGTCACCCCCCAAACCTGCCACAGGTAAAGCGGCGGGGAGGGAACACAGCAGCCAACGTGCTCTTCTACACAAGGCAGCGAACATCAGAATTGCCACGTCCTGGGTCAACCCCCATTAATCCGTATTAACGTAACCGGGGGAGGGGACCCCAGCCATCAACACGGGACACTGCGGCTGGAGGGGCCCGCCCCAGAGCGATGGCTGACCCCCATCGTCCGCACGGGTGTCCTCCCCCTCAAAACCAGCCCAACCATTTCCTGCCGCCCCACAGAGCCGCGACCCCCAGCCCGGCCCGGGGAACCCGCGCAGGCCCCGGGAGGAGGATGGGCCCGGGCGCCGCACTCACCATGGCCCCCGATGCCGCCATCTTGGATCCACGTGTCAGGAAGGACGTCAACGGAAGTGGCCGCTGGTTGGCTTGGGCGCTTATCGCCATGGCGACGGAGCCGGTTCCGGGGTGGGGGGGAGGGGGGAAATCCATGGGCAGCGGCGCCATCTTAACAGAGGGCAGCAGGCTTCGCGCTGAGGGGCGGCGACATGTTTAGAGAGGGCAAGGCGGGGCCGACCGGAGCAAGACACAAGGTCCATTCGCTTCATCTTTCTTGAGGGCAGCCAGCGCCCTTGCCCGGCTCTGCCACTGCCGCCTCGGGCACGTCCCTTAGCCCTGCTGTGTGTGGGCCAGGCTTGGTGCGGGCAGCATCTTCCTCCGGGCCAAGTGCAGGGCTGGGGAGGGCAGCACTCAAGTGGAGGCCCACCACTGCATCGCGACAGAAGGGAGAGGTGGGCCCCAGCCCTCCCCTGCAGAGACAGCAGTTTTCCTGCCCCGGGGGGGTAGTTAATTCACTCGACGGAGGAGTTAATTCACTTCCCTGCCGAAGACGCGTGCGGAGACCCGCTGACCCCCTCATGAGGGCACGGGCCGCACAGGAGCGCTGCTCCCCGTCAGCGTTCAGCCTCTGCCACCGTGTCTGAAAGCCACGAGCCCCGATGCACAGAGCAGAGGAGACCGCGCGGGCCTGGGCCTTTCGTCTCCGTCTCCACCTCTGTTTTGTGGCCTCTTTGGCGGGGGCTGCCGTCAGGATTTCCGGGGCCAAGGGGCTGGTGGCCTCTGGCATGGGAAGACACCGCGAGGACCTGGCTCCAACGGGCGAGGTTTTGCCCCTCTCCGGCCCAAAGAGAGAAAGCGGGGCCGGTGCCGGCGGGCAGCATACACGTCGTTAAGAGAAAACCGCAAGAGGAAATACCTTTTAAATATTTATTGACTGAAAATCCAAGCTGGAATAGAAGCACGTCATCTACTACATCTCTCTCTGTTAACAAAGTCGAGTAAAATGAATTTCTGAGCCAGTTCGTGGGGGGGGGCGGGGGGAGGAAGGAGTTACAAACCTTCAAGGGCTTTTAAATCTTTGTCATCACTTCATCCCTCTCTAAACCCCCATCTCTTTAAATACTTTGTGAAAGAAATGCCGGGTTTCTTGGTGTCATTGTGAGTTATCGAACTATGCAAGGGATGCCCAGAAAATAAGGATAAAAGGGTTTGGAAATACCGAGGTTAACTGTGACAGAGACTATTGCATATCTCTGTTTCTTGTTCCTGATGTGAGGCTTTAGGAAACAGGCTCTCAGCCAGGCAGTCTTAATATCAGGCTGCCATTATAAAGATCAATTATAACAGCTCCAAAAAAGGAGTTGCAAAAACCAGTGGCAAATTGTGCTATCATTCCCCTGGGTAACCAAGAAAAGAAAAAAAAAAGTCAAGCCAATTGCTTTCTAAACAAAGTACCAAAAAATGTGCAAGGCATTTTACATCTTTTCTAAAGAAAAAAATAGTTCCTGCCCTCAGGAAGTCGATACGTAACTTGGTTAAATACAATTCAGACCATTTTACACTGCAATACACACCCTTTAACAAACCATTTTACAAGCTTCCCCTTCCTCATCGAACCCCAAAATGCAGCCACCTCTGGGGAGGGGCAGAAATCCAGCAACTGATTAAATAGCACACAGCTCCAGCACACGACAGTTTGAGATGGGGAGCAAAACTAAACTAGTTTTAAACTGTGTGAGGGGAGGAGGCTCGTTAGAGCAGAATGATGCCTTGTGCCGTTGGCTCTGATGTCCTGTATGTGTAAAGCAGCTACCTTTGCACAAAAAGAAAAGCCCTGGTTGTTTTTAGAGGGTCCAAATCACACAACTTGGTAAGTCCTCAGAGAGAAAGCGCTCCCTACACCGCAGTGCCGCCTTCCACTCTGTGAGGGCATCAGTTCAATATGGAAGTGCAGGGAATGGCACCACCTGCAGAGACTTTCTGCTGCATCTGGGCTTTCCGAGCCAGTCTCTGGTCCAAGTCCCAGTGAGCTTATCCAAAAATCACGCAGCCCACACAAAGCCACTGCATTCTTGCCTCCCAAGAACTGCGGCAGGAAATCCTTGGTTGCTAAGAGCGGGCTGACAGTGCCAGGGTACGAGCAAAGATGATGAAGAGAGGGATGGAGCAGGGGAGGAAGAGACTGTTGTATGCTCCAGGTCATATGGTATGCATGGTAGATGGCTATTCATTGCCTGCCCTGGATTTTCCACCTTAAGGCTGATGCTGGTACTGGCTCTCCGTTGCAGTAAAGAAATCCTCCAAGACACTCTGGACGTACTCAAAGGTGGGGCGATCCTCTGGTTTGTTCTTCCAGCATCTCATCATGATGTCATACAGCTCTTCCGGGCAGTTATCTGTGCGCGGCATACGGTACCCACGCTCCAGTGCACGGATCACGTCTGGGTTGTACATCCCTGAAAAACAATGGGTGGGAATAGGAGGAGATGGGGGCTTTTACATCAACATTTACATGCTGCTGAAACAGGATTGCATGACATCTTAGGGGACATGATTCCCCCCACAGTAAGTGGTGAGCACCTACACTGCCGTGCAAGGCAAGGGTTGGAGTTTGAGACCCTAGGTAGATGCTAAGCCAGGTGGCAAGCAGTTTTGCTTTTCAGTGAACCAGACTTGAAGCCCAATACTTGTAACAAAGGCCTTAACTCTCCACTTGAGGAGCCTTTTATTAAGCCGTGTCTTCCAGGGCTATGAGTTGTAAGGGTCATTTTAGGACGCAGAACTGTCCTTTCCCCAATCACTCTTAGGGCCTAATATCCTTCATGTACAGTTCACAGAGATAAGTTGCCCCTGTGGCTCTCAATCTTTTAAGACTCAAGATGCCCCTTATTAGACTTGAGGCCCCCTTGGAGAACGTGCTCTGTTTATTTTCACTAATTTTTTGACTAGAGAAAATGAATAGAGCAATTTAGCTATCGCAAAGATCTCGGAATGACCACAACAGGTCAGAACGCATTTAACACCATCAATTCCTGCTTGAAATCTCTGGTTTCATGTTGTGAGACAGGGTAGCACACCAAACGGTGCTAGCAGTGCATGGCACTCTGCCGCACCCTTGAAAGGGTCTCAAGGTACCCCAGTGTGCCACGGCAGCCTGGCTGAGAATCAGGGCAGAATCGTTTCATATGGATGGAAAGTGCCAGAGACAGGTTAGTTTAAGAAGAGAGTTCCTGATGATGATGATTTGCAGCCACTGCTATGCCTGCTAAACACCCAGTCCAGCCTTCTGGTGCCAAACCAATGCATCAGTTCGTACTATTTGTAATCTATATCAGGCAGATGCACTACGAGTTAGGCCTGAATGCAGGGCCAGGTGCCAACTCTGGTACTTTAATCCCAGTGCTTCCAACAATAGAGCAGCCTTGGACAAGCCAATTGCAGGTAGCCCCTTAACCTCCATCAGGTGGGTTTGTATCCCCTCCGGGATGACATCTGGCAGATGCATATGCATGAATAATGCATGTTGGTTGGAGCCTAGACCATTTCAGACCCTGGGTACTCTGCTTTTCACTGCTCAATGCAACACTGTTACCTTGACCCCTGCATGAGGATGCTGTCTTTGAGAACTGCTCCCAGCTGGCAGTTCAAAGGTCTCTTTCCCTCTTTATCACCCCTTTCTAACACCACCCAGCAGCAGATCACACAGTCAAGCTAAAACTGGCCTCCCTGAGATATGGCAGGACTTCTCACCTGGGTATGGGATGCGTCCGTAGGTAATTATCTCCATCAGGAGGATCCCAAAGGACCAGACATCCGATTTTATCGTGAAAGACCCGTAGTTGATGGCTTCTGGCGCTGTCCATTTGATGGGAAACTTGGCACCTGGACACACAGAGCAAGTCAGAATCAATAGAGGGCATCTCAAACAGGACCAGGGAGAATCAATTCCTCCATGCCCCCACATCTGGCAGATAATTTGACCTGAACATGTGAGCTATGCCCATTGGCCACCCAGCTGAAGGGGTCTCACTGCTTCTTAGGAGCCCCAGTGGAGCCAGCCAATGTCCAGTGGTTCAAAAGAAGCACAAAAAGCATGTAACCCCACAAAACAGAAGCCAACCAATGCATAGGATAAGGGGAGAGGAAGGAATCTCAGCTGCCGTAGGTGACCCCAGGAGCCCCAAGCATGGGGTACCAGCCCCCTCCCCGGTACAGGCGTGACTGTGTGCATCTTATTAGGCTCATCATGCTCCACAGGCTGCCTTTGCCCAGCAGTACCCTACCTTCCCGTGCCAAGTACTCATCCTCGATGATTCTGGCCAGGCCGAAGTCTGCGATCTTGCACACCAGCATTGCTGACACCAGGATATTGGCGGCCCTCAGGTCCCTGTGGATGTAGTTTCTCTTCTCGATGAAAGCCATTCCTTCTGCGATCTGTGGGAAGGGGAGAGAGAGCACACACGGAGTTTGAAACCTTCCCAAACTGTCAAAGCCAATGGCCTCAGAGGGCTGCAGGATTATTAACGGAGCAAGAGAGAGCACAGGGAAAACAGGGGAGAGCACAGCGACGGCATGGGCTGCGCGGTGCTTTCCAGGAGGTTGCTAGGTAAAGAGCAGGGAGAAGGTACCCCATGACCTCTGGGGCAGGGAAAGAGCCGACAGGAATGTCCAGGAGTCTGGGTGAAACCTGCACCTGTGCAAGTGCCTATGAACCACACTGGCCTGTAGGCAACGGGCAGTTGGAGACGGCATCCAGTGAACTGCTATAGTCTTGGCCAGGGCCACAAACTCACATCTCACCTGTTCCCCAGCAGCCCCACATGTGGACTCACAGAACCACACAGGAAGGTGCAGATACATCCTGTGGACTCGTAGCCCCCAGATGTGAGCGGTGGTCCACACAATCACAACCCATCTCTTCTGCGAGGGGCCTCACGTGACAGCACCACGCATTGCTAGCATTCAGCTTTAAGCGGCCCCAGGTTTTGCCATAGTTGCATGCAGGGCGCCATCTCAGCGAGGGCCCCCAGCCTGCGCGCCCGGACAAATGCAATTTCTACCTCAAAGCAGGCAGCGCGCTGAGCTCCTATGCAGATGGAGATGCAGCAGCCAGACAGATGGCAGGCAGGGCTCTGGCCCTCGAGGAGCTAGTACCTGGCACCTGAGCTAGCTAAGGGGACAGCCAAGATGCTGCATCGGGACTGGCCCAGAGCAATGCAGATCGCAGCATCTCGAACACGCTCCATTGCAAACAGGCCACAACCGGACTGGAGAAGAACCAGCAGGTGGCGCTTGCCTGCTGCAAGGGGAGGCCAAGGCCAAGGCCAAGAGACTTCCGGGTCTGCACGCTCAGGCGTACAGAAGTGCCGCCCACGCAGAGGGGATGCTGCACACCCAGGTACTTGCATGCATTCGGCCTCTGCTCCCCGTGCAGACCTGCGCTGCAGACTCCGCTGCCCAAGAGCTGGCACCTCTGTGCTCAGACTGAAGCATCCTGCCAAGGCTCCTTGCAAAGACCCTGGGAGAGATACGTGTGCGGCTGCCTATCTACCCTGCACATCACAGCACAGCCCAGGGGGTTGAATGTTCCAGGCCTTAATAGGTGTATATAAATCATGGCATGGGTATAGGAGCTGTATGTGATGACATCACGTGCACGCTACCACCGCTAACGAACAACATGTTAGGAAGATCCTGCAAAGACCCAAATGCTGAATGCCTCTTTCTGACCGCCCCAATGACATCACAACCCTGGATGTTGCCAAACGTAGTGCTGTTTGCCCAGAAAAACAGAAGGTGTGAAAGCATTGCACCCTCCTAAGCCAGGCTAGGACAGCTCTCTGGGCTGCCCAGGGAACAGGCTAAGAAAAATATTCTCAAAAAATACAATCCCTAGCAAATTTGGAGGCCCCTGGCTGGAGAGCAGTGGATGAAGCCTGGCTGCCTGTATGGACAGCTGTACTCAGAGCAGCTGACGGGCTTCGTCCCTGTCAGACGTCTCAGCAGACTACTCCGTAAAGTTGTGCAGGTGTCGAGAGCAGTGCACTGTAACCTAGCACTCAGCGTCACTGCTAGCAATAAGAGCAGCCGAGCATGCAGTGACAAGCATGTAGGATAAGGTGCCACCTGTGAAAATCCAGAACTGCTATATATAGCTACTGCATTGTGCTCTGTAGACTTCATTTACATGTGGCAATTGTGCCCAAAGTGTGAACATTGGCTGGAGGGCCCAGGGTGCTCGTGTGTGTTGTAACACAGGATACAAAAGCCGAGCCACGATAAACCAACAGGCAAAAGTGAATCTACACAACAAGATAGTCCATTATTGACTGTGGCCATAAAACGCTGCAGTAAATAATGACTGGTTGTGTTCACGGCTAAACGCAGTTCGTGTGACAGACGCACGGACAGAACCAGTTTGAAGTGATAAATCTTCATCCTAAAAATGGACTTTCTGCAACATACCCGTATGCGGCATCCTGAGAATGTAACCGTGGCATCACGTGAGCTGGCTGCAGAGTGGCTCCATCTCTCCAAGCCATCAAGGGGCTTGGGATGATCAGCACAAACCCAGTGCTGACATGTGTCAAGTCCCCTAAATGTCTCGCACTGTTTCCTAACCCATGGGGAACAGCTGCAGATCAGGAGAGCTGGTGGATCTTAGACTCCGAACACCAAGCTGGAAAGCCCAGTGACCTGGCTGAGCACTGGGGCAGGAACGATGGGTTCAGGACTAGTCACCAAGCTGTCAACAGCCAGAGCTTCTGGTCCCGCTCCATCTGAGCTAGAGCTTGGCAGCCAGGTCACCTTAGCTGCCTCCCAGAGACGGGGTAGAGGCAAAACAGGGGGACAGAAGTGAGTCTGGCTTTCCCCTCTCCTGCACCCACACGAAGGAGGGAAAAACCCACCGCAACATGTGCAGGGATGTCTCTTGCTGCAGAATGGGAGGGAAACAAGTCCCAGTGCACACGCTACAGTTAAGGGGTTAACCATGAGTAAACAGCAACTTCCCTTTCTGCCAAGGCCGCCTGCCGTGCACCTGCTCCCAGGCTGCGCACAGCTGGCCGGGGGACAGTTGCGAACAAGAGGCCGGTTGTTTTGCAGGGCAGGGCGAGAACAGCAGCGTGGCGGAAGGGACTGGAGAAGGGAGGCGCGCTGGATTATCTCCAGGCATCCTTTCTGCCGGCAGGGAGAGCACCAAACCCTCCCTGAACACCCGCATGTTTTCCTGGGGTGCTAGCGGGCCAGTTTGCCTATTCAAATCCGGAGCACAACCCGGCATTGTTAGACCCTGAACAATCGGATCCTTCCTGGAGCCTGTCCCAGCCCCGACGGGCACGAAACGCACTCCCGTGTGCCACTTTTCCAGAAGCCGGTGACCGAGAGGCCAATCGCTGCAGCTCCTGGTGCCAACCCACCTCCTTCCCATAACCTAACGGAGCACTTTGCCTTCCAGCTGCTTTGCAGGCATTAGCTGCTAATGATCTGAGCCCCCTGGGAGATGGGGAAGGATCGTTCTCAGCCTTTTGAAAGGCCACGGAAGTGGGGTGCAGACAGCTTGGCTCTCCTTGCCCTCCCCCAGCATAAGTCAGATGGGAAGCAGGACCAGGGGTGATGCCTGGCTCACGGTTGCACTGACTCTAGGGGCAGGAGGTATCAGGAGCTGCAGGCTGCCAGTCCTCCGGACCCCACCGCCCTCAGGGACCAGCCCCAGGGCCGACGGGTTAGCCTGCCTTCAGACCCCCCCTGCACACAGCAATACACCCAGCAGCATCCCACAGTCTAGCTGTGTTCATGCCTATCAGTGCCACCTCAGCAGCTTCGGCCCCAAATTTGGAGCCAAAGCTTCCCTGCCCCCACGGCGGCCAGGAGCAGAGCCCCTCTCAGCCCCAGCAGGGTCCCTCCTTACCTGAGCGGAGAAGTCGATCAGCTTTGGGAGAGGCTGCTTGTTCCCTTCATCGCTCTTCAGGAAGTCCAGCAAGCTGCCTGTGGAGGGGGTAGGGGGGGCTCAGGACAGGGCCTCACCAAGAGCCAGGGGGTCCCTGCTTGTGGCCCTGGCTCCGAGCAGCCTGGATGCCCTTGCCACGCTCCCACGAGAGAGACCGCTGGGCTCTTCAGTCCCGCTCATCTGTGGAGCAAGGACTAGAGGGGCTCATGGCCCCTCACAATGTGAGGGGTCACAGCACCCCTGCTATCTGCCCCGCTGGGGTGGGGAGGGATTAGCTCCAGGGCAACCCAGCCCCACATGCCCCTTGCATGTGCTTGTCATCTTCCCCATTTCCTGTTCCCTTTCCCCCCTCCACTATCGTGTCTTTCCAGCCGCATGGTGCATCCTCCGGCCAGGCAATGTGCTCCGATAGCTCCCAAGCGGGGCAAGGCAAACAGCCTCAGCCCTGGGGATGCCCAGGAGCACAGCGAGCTTAACCCTGGGCCACCGGATCCCCACCCCCAGGACACACCTTTCTCCATGAACTCGGTGATGATATAGATGGGCTCCTCCTTGGTCACCACCGCATGCAGCTTCACCAGCTTGTCGTGCTGCAGCGTCTTCATGAGGTTGGCCTCCGCCAGGAACGCTTCCACGGACATGCTGCCCGGCTTCATGGTCTTCACTGCCACCTTGGTGTGCTTGTTGTAGGTGGCTGGCAGAGACGGGGCGCTTGTCAAGGGCAGGCCTCGCGCTGCAAATGGCCCCCCGCCAGCCAGATACAGAGCACAAGCCCAGCTGGGGAGAGGCCTCCGTGCTAGCACCCCCCCTTCCTACAGCACCTGACCCCCCGGGGCCATCCTTGCCCATCCACATGACCCCTCCTGTCCACCCAGCTCTCACCCATCCACACTTCTCCGAACTGCCCAGCTCCCAGCTTCTTCTCCAGCTTCAGGGACTCGCGGGGGATTTCCCAGGCGTCCTTCTCCCAAGGCTTCTGGGGCTTCGGCGCCGTGCAGGGGAACGTGAGTTTCTGGCACAGCCCATCACTCTGGTCTGGAAAAGAGCAGCAAGCATTGATGATCAGGCCTGGGTAGAGCAAACCCACACGCTGGCAGCTCGGGGCCAAGGACTTGTCCACCTGACGGACCAGAGCTGGATTTGAACCATTGACCAAGGAGGAGGGAGCACCTGTAACCCACTGGCCGGAAGATGCCACGAGAGGAGCAGCACTTAACGAGCGGGATCAGGGGCCTGGAGAAATCCCGCTTACTCACTCTTATAGTGGTCGACCAGCTCTACCAGAGTGGAGAAGCTGTTGCGCGGGGAGATGTAGAAGCCGCCGTCGTCCAGCGTCCGGATCTTGTAATGCTTCACCGTGTCCCCGTTCTGCACGTCGAAGTCCCTCACGGACAGGGAGTAGCAGCCTGGGCCGAGAGAGGGGAAGACCCAGCTGAGGCCCTGGAGGGAGCAGGCAGCCACAGGTGCCCGCTGTGCCCCCCAGCCCCGGTGCTGCCCAACCAAGGGCTCTGCTCACCCCTCCTCCCTGCCTCCCCTCGGCTCCCACGGCCATGGCTCGAAGCTCGTCCCCGGGATGCTCAGCCTGCATCCGGAGCAATTCCCTCGCACGCGGGCACGAGGAAGTGGTGAGAGCAGGCGAGAACCAGATAAAGTCTGCCTCGGCCTCATTTCCTGAAGGCCTCCCCCCGCACTTTTGACTACATGGGAGCCAGACGCAGCTCAGGACATGAACTCGGACCCCGAGAGCGGGGGCAGCCCCTTCCGCATGTCCCAAGCGCAGACTATAGCCTGGGCACTCTCTCACCTTTGGTGGTCTCGCTGTCCCGTACCATGAAGGAGCCGATCATGTTCCCAGGGGTCAGGAGCTGCCGCTCAGCATCCTTCCGGCTGACGCCTTTGAAGAACCACCTGCAGGCGAGACCGGAGACAGCCCCGGCAGCCAGGGTGGCATGAGGCAGCAGGTCCCAGGCTTCCCACCCTCGGAAATGCCCCATGTGCTGCCAGGATGACAGCGAACCCCCCAGAGGAGGGCACCTGCCCAGGGAAGAGTCATCCATCCAGCCCAGCTTCCACAGGGCCTTCCCCTGCAGAAGCAACGCGCCTGTCCCCACTCCAGCCTGAGCCCTGGTCTGCACCAGCGTCACACCTTCCACGGGGGCTTCCTGGGAGCAGCAAGGAGGCTCCTAAAGCAAGGCATTTTCTTCTCTAGCTTTGCACCCCACCAGGTCAGGAGCATGAAGCGTAGGGGGACCAAAGCTGCCCGCACGGAGCCCGCTTGCGCTCCCTCAGGCTGTTCCCAGGCTCCCAAAGCAAGGGGTAGAGAGGTGCCAGGACAGCGAGACAACTCCTTCCCAGTCCTGCCGGGTCCAGAGGAGCAGCAAGCAGAGAAGAGCAGCAGAGCGAGCCAGGAGAGGCAGAAAGCGGTGGCCAGAGCGGGCAGAGAAGAGGCGTGCATGGCAGCATCCTCCCCGGCACTCACTCCTCGGTCTCCAGGGAGTTCACCCGAGCCACATAGTTACTAGGGATGTAGCCTTCTTTTCCCGTGGTGAGCGACTTGGCCTTCCACCACTCTCCAGCCCTGGGGAGAGAAGGGGCAGCCGTGAGCTCGTTCTCTCCGCGCTCGCACAGCCCTGGCAGCCTCTTGGCTTTGAGCTCGAAGCAGGGCGTTGAGGAGCCTGAGGCATCTTGTGCATCTCCGGGGCACGTGAACCCAGGCTGAGGCTGCCCTAGACCGGAGCCAATGCCACAGCAAGGCCCTACGCCGATAAGTCAGGCCTTCACCACCCCACAGAGCCCCAGGAGCAGGGGCAGGACACACGCACTTACTCCTCCAGGACCTTCATGCGCTCGCCCTTCTGGAAGCTCAGATCTCCACTGTGCGTCACTTCATAGTCGTAGAGAGCCAGGACCAAGCAGTCCTCTGAGCCTGCCGGGCCAGATGGGCGCCTCGGTCAGGGGAGCCAGGAGACCCCCCACCCTCCCAGGACCTCTCTCAGGGGGCTTTGCCTGCTGCTGCTGGATGGGACCCTCTGCTCGGCACTGGTGTGCACCAGCAGCGTGGCAAGCTTCATCCATCCACATCACCCAGCTCCCCTGTTACAATAGCTCAGGGCCCTCTGCTCCCAGCGAGGAGCACAAAACCAAGAGCAAACACTCCCCTCCTTTACATCCACCCCAGGCATGTGTAGGAAGGAGCAGGCCCTGATGCTCAGCAAATTCAGGGTTTTTGCAGAACCAGGTCCCTTAGGGCTGGCTGGGCCCAGGGATGCATCTGCGCTCCACCAGACCAATGGCATCCCCGGCGCTTGGGACTGAGGGGGAACACAAGCCTCATTGCAGTCCCCAGCTACCGGCTAACGCTTGGCCCTCCTGCACTAGACAAGGGCCCAGATCCAGCTGTGCTCTGGGACCTGAAGCCTGCAGCAAGCGTGCGGCCCACCCGGCTCGGGGGCTCATCCGTACGTACCATCAGCAGGCAGGGGTGGAGCCACGCTGGAAACATTGCTCTGGAAGGCAAGACGAGGGACATGGAGCATGTTGTCACCCGACTGGGCACCGTCCGATCATGCTCACCCGTCTCCATCCTGCTGCAATGCCGGCAGGAGGGAGATGAGCAGAGAAGGGCGCGGGGCCCCGTGGAGGAGGGAGACTGTGCCCAGCAGATGGGACCCGCACCACTGATGTCTGTGCACACCTGGATTTCCTCTTTAGCCCCCTGGTTGCTGGCATCCAGCAGGACCCTGTCCCCAAACTTCCTTCCTCCACCCGCTTCTCGTTGCTTCCCTTCCCCGTCACCTCCTGCTTGTTCTCCCAATTTTCCCCAGGAAGGATCAGGAGCAGCCTGGGCTCTCAGCCCTAGACTAAACCACCACAGCGCTCATGCAGCAATGCCTCTTTCTGATGCACTGTGCCCAGAAACCCAACCCTCTCCACCCAGGGGCTGCCTGGCCTCCAGAGCAACTGCTGGGACAGCACATCCCCAACCCTTCTGTGGCTGCAGCTTGCACTGGGCATCTCCCTGCCCTGACTCATGGCCGTGAGCTTCCCCGTCGCCCTTACTCTCTTGTTGGTGGACGTGGGGTCCTTCACGTAATGGGCCTGCTGGAGGCTGGGGCCCGAGTTGCCTTTCAGGATCTTCATCGTCGTGCCCAATTCCTTGGACTTGACGCAGCCCATCCTGCGGCAGAGAGGAAGAAGTTGAGACGGCCCCCGTGGCTGGGCTCCCCGCAGCTCAGGAAGGAAGTGTGGACACCCACAGCGACCTGCGCTAGCTGCTGCCCAGCCCCCACCATGCCTGCTCCGACACAGCCTCCCACTGCTCCTGCTGCCACGCGTCTTTGGGGCCCTGGTTTAGTGCCCCCAATCCTAGCACATGGCTTCACAAGCAAGTTCTGCTGCAATAAGTTGAGTTGCCCCATGTCAGCTTCTCCGTGGGAAGCACCATGCTCATCCCTTCCCTCACAGTAAAGGCGTGACCCTTGGTGAAAGCAGGGAGACCTAGATCACGCTCACCGTAGGGCGAGAGCGTACGGACGGGCAACTGCGCTCAGCCCTTGCTAACCTCATGGTATTGCAGGTCCAACGGCACTGCAGCTGCAACCTCAACTAAGCGACAGCTTGTTTTTAGGCAAAGCGTCTTGCCCTGGCAGCAGAGAGGAGGGCAGAGGAAGAGAAAAGGAGAAGGATCCCAGCCTGCTCTGCCCTGCGGAAAGACCTGCAACTTCTGCAGCCGGACCCGCGGCTCAAGGATGGGACTTTTAAGTAAACTCAAGACCCATCAATGAGCCGTGGCAGAGACCACCCTCGAATCAAGGGAGTGCCGATGACGACAGTATTGGAGGCCACTTGCTTGTATATAGGCTCACACAAATTTTCAGGCCCAGGGCAAGGTGCTGACTGGGTTTCTACTCCCTAGATACCCGCATACCCATGGCCACAAGTCCCATTTCACCCCTTAACGCTCTGGCTTCAAGATAAGCTCGTTTCACAGCAAAGCCCAGTCGGCTCGTGCCGCAGAGCAGGACGGTGATCTCCGGCGGTGCCCAAAGGCAGGGCAGAAACTTCCCAAGAGACGAGGGACAGCCGATCCCAGCCCCAAGAAGCTTACACCCAGCGGCAGGAGAGGGAGGGGGGGGATGGCTGGGCCACTTCCCCACAGGCACATGGTTGTGCAGCAGGGCTTGAAGCGACATGATGAAACCCAGGGGTTTTCAGATTTGGGAAAAAGAGAAGTGGCGGCTACAGACTTTCACAGGGGGTTTGCAGCACAGAGAGGGGCATTACCCGGGGACAGGAACCAAGGGAGAGGGAGGTCTGGCTGATGCACCCAGGAAGGGCAGTCTCCGGGCAGGGGAAGCAACCTGGCTCCGGTCCCAGGGGAGGCGTGGATGGGGTTTTGGAGACTGGTGTCACTAGGAGGTGGCTGCGATGGGCGATGCCCTGGTCCCACGGTGCTGGCTGACCACGCAGAGCGGACGTTCCCCACACCCTCCCCAACCACGAGTCCACCTCGCTGGGATCCCTGGGCCCTCCAGCACTGCGTGCCAGGAGAAGCCCAGTGGAGCGAGAGGCAATAGGCCTGTGCTCGGCTGAAACACCCAGTGGGCCAAATCCCCAAAAGGTGCCAGGCACCTGCAGCTTCTGCTCAATTCAACTGGGAAAGGCGGTCGTAGGCACCCAGGATGTGGCCCACGGAGAGCCTGAGCCTGCCACAGCTGCCAGACGCACTCAACAATGGGTGATAATTCTTGTCCTCAGGCCCTGCCAACACAGGGACATGCAGGCAGATCCGCTGGAGGTGCCGTGTCCACACACACATTAAAAGGGGAGGAAAGGGGGGCAGAAGTCATCATTCATTAAAGCCACCCCAGCGATACCTGGGCACCCCCACTCTCTTTTTTGCTAGTCTCCCTGCTATGAATGTGTGTAACAAGCCCCTTGACCACCTCCAGACTCCTCTTGTTCATCTGCAGCCAAGCGCTGGCCACAGAAATGCGGTCAGGCGTTGGCTCCCCTTAGACACGGGATAGCACGCTGTGGGTCCTGGCACCCCAGCCACCTCCCTGCGAGCCTGGTTGTTAAGAGGAAAGGGGACTGCGCTGCTAGGAAGGGGCAGGGACAACAGAAAGGGGAGGCAAGGAAAGGGAAAAGGATGCAGGTTCCTGCATCTTTGGCTTAGAGAAGGTCTCGTACACAATGGCTGACGCGCCCGCAGCCCGGGCACTGCCAGAGCTGCACAAAGGAGTAGCAGCCAATGGGTGAACCAGGCCCTGAGCATCCCCTCGTCCAGTACTCCCATTTAATAGCCCTACCAGGGCAGAGCAAAAGGGGAAATGTTGGTGCAGACACCGAACCCCCTTCTCCTGGCACAGGCCACAACTGCCTGTAAGGGCAGAGCCAACCACCGTATAAAGCAGAGCACTTGAAAAAGAGAGGGGAGCACAAAGTCTCGGGGGCTCTCTGCAGGCTCAGTGTGAGCTGGGGTTGTGTCCTAGCTCCAGCCCCTCACCCTGGCCTGTAGCCCCCCACTCCATCCCAGCTGCTCTCCGTCTCACTGCCCAGGGGCATGCTGCCCCTTTCCCCCAGCTCCCCACGGCTCTTTCAGGCATCAGCAATAAATGTGCTGCAAGCAATGGAAAAAAGCAGCTTCCTTTTGTCCTAGAGAGACCTCGCTCGGTGCACGAGGAAGGAGGAGCCTGGTGCTGCAGGAGGAAGCACGCGAGAACCACAGCCCACGCCGGAGCCCCGGCAGCCGCTGTGCTTCGTGCCCAGAGCCCTGCTGCAGAGCCAGGACAGGCCATGCAGGAGACCTGGGGTTCCCAAATGCCCACGGCCCTCCAGCAGCAACAGCCAGCAGTGCTCAGCATTGCCAGGATGGGCCCTCGGAGGCAGACGGCAGGGAGAGGAAACCAAGGCACATCTGAAGCCTGTTTCTGAAGGGGCGCTGCAGCCTCTTGGAGTTGCAACCGCCTCCCTCCAATTATCAGGGAGAAAACAGCCTTTCCCTCCCTGGCAGGGCCCAGGATAACATCCCCCCCACACCACCCCATCCTTGCTGGGTCCTTCCAGGACCGCCTCTTCCCCGAAAGAGCTCCTAGCACTGCAACGATTTGTGAAGCCCCCCTACCCTCCCCGTACTCTGGGTGCGGTGCCATGAGCCACCAGGCAGCGATAGCCTCAGAGGGGGAAAAGGCAGGGGACAGCAAGGTGGGGTCTGGGCTGGAGGGGAGGGTCCCGTGTCAGTCCTTGCTGAGGGGCTCACCTGGCCGGGGGTGGGGGCTGGCCCTGCATGCTTTGCACAGCCAGAAAGACCCAGCAAAGGCGTTGCAGCTGTGCAATGCGCTCAGGAAAGATCCACCATCCAATCCTTTCCCCCAACCCCATGGTTTGCACGGTGCATTTGGCATCGGGAGAGGGTCCAGGTGAGCAGGCCAAAAGACATCACCCACCTGCAGGATGCAAAACACCAGCTTCCTGCACACGCTGATCTGTAAATCCCTCTGATCTGTGTCTCTTCCAGCCCCAGCAGAGATGAGGGATGTGATGTGCCTGCTACGGGCTGGACCAAGATGTGCCGAGCCTTCGCTTTTCCACTGTTCACCTCCTGAGTGTCTCTTTGCAAAAGAAGGGACTGGGTATTTAGGACTATCCCCCTGGGCACTACTTAGATGCATGTTCTCCAGGTCACCGCCACGAGGCAGAGGCACTATGGGCACCATCCTGACTTTCCACAGGCCCAGACACCTTCTGCAGGCTCAGGCCATGAATGCCAGCACAAGGAGACAGGCCAGCTCGCCAGTCCTGTCATTAGCCACCCAGCTGCTAATATCTGGGCTTGACGCTCAAGCCCTGGGGGGAAATTTTACTCACGTAGCAACTTAGCTAGAATTTGGACCTTGGGATTTTCCAGCTATTTGATTACTGGTATTGGCCAGCTCTGGCTGATGCAGTCTGCCCTCCATCCTCCGCTGTGCTTGCCCCCTCGGTCCACACTGACAGGCTAAGCTCAACCCCAGAACCAGGCAGGGAGGGAAGGGACCGAGGCCCGTGTTACTCCTTGCGCTTCTTCCACAAATGACAGAAAGAGAAAGATTTTTTTTTTCCTCCTCCAAGTTGTTGCATATGAGAAACCTCCTGGGGGGGGGGGGGGGG